CTAACCTAGCGGTATGGGGATTTTTCTCCATAAAATGAAATAAATTCTTCAAACTGTTGCAAGGTAACAATGAATTTTCAAAGGTGAGATACGAAGTGAGCTTCACCTCCATAATAAAGAGAATATTCATCATATTGAGACGCTTTGGAGAGCAATTTATTCTGATTTCTTTAGCAGAGTAGTTTTTGGGTGGGTAGCAGCGAGCGATGTCGGCGGACACTGCTAACCTGGTAATGGCTGGCTCAGGTCGAGGACACTTTCTCAGCGCGAGCGGCCCGCAGCGACCTCTGGGTGATTTCATTTAAAAGCAGATCTGCGGCGGGCAGACCAGGAGAGATTTGGGGAGGGGGTGGGGGAGGGGGGAGGGAGAGAGGGCCATTAATATGGAACAGGTTATGCTGGCCAGCGGGATGGAACGGGACGGAGCGATACTAAGCCGGAAGGCGAGGCTGGACGAGAAGGGTCGGTTTAGGAGGAGTAAATATGTGAATATGGTAACGGGCAACAAAGCTGACTGCAAGCTCCGACGTCTGTTTCAGCAAGGAAATTTCCTGTGCGTCCAACCGGTGGCAAGAGTACGCCGGGAAAACAATGGGGATGCAAACCGATGCGAAGCGATATCCACTACCCCACTCTGGGGCCTCCAGCTGTGAGCCCTGTACCACGAAGGAGGTCCGGCCCCTTCGCTAAGCGGACTTTGAATCACTGTCCATATATTCGGGATGTTTGTTGAAGTTCCACAACACTTCCTGCACCTTCCCCAAAGGCCTGTACTTTTTCTTCTGCGTTTCAGCTATCTTTTAGAAAGTCGCTGCAAATTTAAGCGTGGAGACAGTCTCACCCTGTTAAGTGCAAACCACTCTCACGCTTACAAGTGTGAGGCATGGTTTTTCCTACACTTTCCGCCTATCATTCCCTGTGGTTCCACGCCACAACAGCCCACGTTTGCAAGTGTACGACAAACCGTGTCTTACACTTGCAACCATGGGACAAACGTGGCTCACACTCGTGGCTCGCACTCACCATGTGGTTTGCACCAAACAGTGCGAGAAAGTCTCACACTTACATTTGTAATGTACTTAAGAAGAGCATCGCCGTTTTAGAAGCCAAATTAGGTGTATGACACGCGCGCCTCAAAAGATATTCCAATAACCTCCTTAGGTTTGGAGTGGAGTCTACGGTGGCTTTAACGTGCACAACATATTCCCTGCGACCCAACAAAATTTATCATACCGGCTCGTAGTCTCTCACATTAGACTGCGAGTCAGCCTGGCTGTGCTGCATGGCGCAGCGACCAGCGTGGAGCGCTGCAACCCCCACACCACGATATCGAAGCTTGATTTATCTGGGCAGCTCTAAAGGGTATCGTCCAGGGGGCTATCCGCGCTGCTAGGGCCGCTGCCAACCGGACAATTTTTCTTCGCGTCGGCAAACCACCTGAGAAATCAGGCGGGGCTTTCAAAGGGCGTTTCGGCATTCCAGGCCGTTCCCTGCGTCGATTATGAGACGAGTGGCCCGACGAGGAAGGCATTCCTGTGCATCTCCTGCGATTGCTAAAGAATTCCTTGTCCTCGCCCCGGTTTTCCGGCCGACCTTTTAAATGGGGTGAAAAAAACAGGGAAATCTGACTTTGGACCAAATAGATGTACTGGTCAATGACCAAATTTACATTTCTCGTTAGACACATGGAGTTCTCACCAGGGCATCTTTGAAAATTCCAAACCTCTGAACTAAAAAGACACCTGGATCTCAGGGCGCACTTGACGTGTCAAGGCGGACGGTACTTCAGCGGATCACGTGGACGGTGCCGTCCTCTAGTCTCTAGTAGTTTTCAAGTTGCAGAGGGATTCTGAATTATCTCTGGAGACTTCAACGCACGGGCAAGAGCACGTTACCATGGTGCGAGCGCCACCATGGGGAAGCCATGCTTCACCATGACGATAGACACCATGGTGGTTCTTTCACCACGGAATTATTTGTCGCCCCATGCCGTGGTGTAAGAGTGCTCGTGGTGTTTTCCTAAATTTCCATGGCGAAAGATCATCGTCTCGTGGGAAGTCATCCATGGGACCCCATGTGCTCCATGGTTTTTTGGGACTGGGAGACGAGTGGCCCGACGAGGAAGGCATTCCTGTCGCATTCTCCGCCAATGCTAAATGAATTCCTTCGTCCTCGTCGCCCGGTTTCTCCGTGCCGTACACTGCGAATGGCTGGAATGGAAATAGGAGTGAAAAATAAAAAGGGAAAACGACTCCTTGGAACCAAATAGAATGTCTTGGTAACCAATGACTTAAGTTGACATTTCTCGTTGAGACACGAGTCCTTTTTGTTGAGTAATCTCAACCAGGGCATCTTTGAAAATTGACGCAAACCTCTTGAACATAAAAAGACATCCCCTTGGATCTCAGGGCGGCACTTGACGTGTCGGAAGGGGCGGACGGTACTGTCAGCGGGTATTCACAGCTCGGCACTCGTGTTTGCAGTGTACCCGCTAGCGTCCGCCCTACCAGAGCATCCCACCCGGGAGAGGCACTACTGGCTTCGACTCGGACGGCATTCTGCCGGAGTCAAAGACGCAGTCGCGCGGGAAATGGCACGGCCGCCTGGTGGTTTAGCCAGGCAGACAGACGGACAGGCTGACAGAAAGACCAGCAGACAGAGGGACAGGTTGACAAGGAGACCAGACCAGCAGACAGACGGACAGGTTGACGGAGAGACCAGACCAGCAGACAAACGGACAGGTTGACAGAGAGACCAGCAGACACATGGACAGATTGACGGAGAGACGAACAAGTTCACTGAGAGACCAGCAGAAAAACGGATGGGTTGACGGAGAGACCGGCAGACAGACAGGTTAACGGAGAGACCAGCAGAGTCCACACGGTCAGGTTGACGGAGACCTACCGGCAGGCAGATAGACGGGTGGGTTGACGGAGAGACCGGCAGACGGACATACAGGTTGAAGGTCGAAGGTTGGTGTATCACCAGCGACCAGACGGACCCAAGGTGCCGTCTATCAAGAAAACGCCCTGTAGCACCTTGTGCCCTCTCCCCTACCCCCCCCCCTTCCCCTCACACACACACATTTTCACCTCGTTTATCCCAACTGACGCCCTGTTTCTTCTGTTCCAGGTGCGTGTGTGGCCCACTGTGACGGTCACGGAGTGCGTGTGCACCGCGAGAGAACCCTGCAGGTGGCCCGCCAGAACAACATCGTCAGCGGCAAGCAAAAACGAGGCGCAAAAGAAACGAGCAGGACCTTGATGGCACTTCCATCGGACGAGCGAGAGGCCATACGGTGGCGTGGCAACCTGGCTCGGCATTTAAACTTTTAATTGCGACTCCACACTCTGGAAACCTTACGAACTATTTCAGGCCTTCCAAAGAAAAGTAGTTTGGCATAACAAAATATTTTGAGCATACAAGTATTCCTAACTTAAAAAGTATTTCTTCGTATAACAATCTACATGCTTTGTACCTATCACAAGCTAGGTCGTATGAAGCGTACAACACTGTCAACACAGACTGGGCATACCCTGACAGTGCGTTACGAAGCGCCTTCTGTCGTTTCTGGAGGTTTCGTGATTCCATAACTATTTTTAAGTACTACATCCCTGCCAAAAACTTATTAAAAATGGAATTTTCTGCTAAGTGGAGGCAATTTCTGTCCCAGCAAGTTCTCCTGATTTTTCGACAGTGCACTTTGCGCTGTGGGAGTAACCTCTTTCTAAAACAAAATAAATCATGTCAAAAGTAACCTAAAAGTACAGCATAATTCTAAAGGAGCCAGAGCACGCATCAGAGCGCTGCAGCGTCCGGCCGGCGACGGCACTCCTTTGCGTGCCGGGGACACTTCTTGGCGGCGTGGGAATGCGACTGATTACTGAGAGGCGGCCCGCTGTTGGCCGGCAATCTTACTGTCTAATGCCTCTGCGGCACTGTCGGGAAAGGACGCCTTTCACGCGATGCCCGTCCGAGCCTCCCCCGCCCGTGCCGCGGACCGTCTTAACAGTCAGAGCCCCTAACCTGGTGACAAGGGCGGCACGCGCTGAGAAAATTCGAGTCGTCACTTCATGAAAATTTCACGGAAAATTTTCCTTACAACGATGTCATCAAAACAATTGATGACATTGTTGTCACGCCCACGCAATAAGAATAGGAGCTTTGATGAAAATATCATCAATTTGTGATGAGATTGTCATAATTTGAAAGTGGTGAAAATATCATCCACGTTTTTGTCATAAATAATGATAACGAATTTTCCCAGTGGGCAAGGTAAAAAAAAGACTGTGGTATTGCGAGCTATGGTCGGAGAGAAGTAAGCGACGTCGATCACGTCCGACGCTTTTCAGTGTCAACCGCACCGCAGTCTTCGACACCTACAAGTGTCGACGACAGCTTGTCCGATGGCTGGAAGTGTGGGGTCACAGCAGGAAACTATATGTAGTTCGCCGTGGGATAAACAGTGTCCTATAGATGCAGGCGTCGGACACTACTGGTCGACACTTGCAAGCGTAGGACAAAGTGGTCTACTCATAAAAGTGTCGACCTGTCCTGCACTTGGATTTGCACAGTACCGCCTTTAGATATAACGTGATGTATGCACTTATGGACCCTCTTGGACACCTAGTCCCCCTATGAAGCGCTCAATTTACGGTTCAAACGGGATTTTTACGTTACGCCAGGCCTGCTCGAAACATGCCCTCAAATTTGAACCTCGCAGACCTGCGTAACTTAGTTCATAAACGTACCCTTAACGAAACACTTATATCCTTTGTTGTCTCATGTCGCTGCAGTGCTTATCAGCCCCTTTGCTTAACTGCCTTGCACCCTTTGAATCATCGCCGAGTCAAGAACATAAGTGATCACAAAACGAGGAACAAGGTGAAACGTTCCTACTATGGTTCCTGGCTTTCTTGTTTTACTATTTTCGTTCTTCACTCGGCAACGACTGAAAGGGCAAGTCACAGTTAGTCACACGCAGTAGTCGTTGTACTCACTCAGAGCTCCTCACACTTCTGCCTCTCCAGGAGCGCTGAACACCGGTGAACAAGGGAGATGTGGGGTATGAGGACGGTCGGATGTCCTGCCTTCACGCAAGTACCCTCGCTTCCCCGGTGGCACACCGTTAGGGACTGCCGAGAGATGGGATGTGCTGCTCGTCTGGTCACGCGCACACTGTGGGAAAAAATCACAGTAACACTGGTAGAACTCAAGCGTAGTTTTACGCCTTTCTTCAAGCGTAGTAGAACTACGCTCGGTTTCAAGCATAGTTCTCTATTTTGCCCCTCTCCCGCCAATCTAAATGCATGGGAGAATTTCTTCTCTACGCTTGACGTCAAGCGTAAAGTCTTCAAGCGTAGTTGTATGCTTGAATCAAGCATACAACTACGCTTCAGTTTTACCGGTGAAATCCTGTAGTGATTAGTACAGCCGTCACTGTAGTTCAGAGTACAGGATTTACTGTACTTTTTTAACAGGATCTACTGTACTTTGTACGGGATTTACTGTACCACAGGAGTGGAGTACGGAATATCCTGTACCAGGTACAGTAGCTACTGTAGCCAGGCACGGTAAATCCTGTGTTCTGAACTACAGTAAATCCCGGCAAAAAAATTAACGGGATTCACTGTGTTTTTTTCGCACAGTGCAGGTCCGGGGCTCGCCGGGATGGCTGGCTCGCAGTCGCAGAGCCGGTCTTCGAACTAGGGGCAAAAGCACATTTTGCCTACGCATGGGGGCGAAGTGAGGCTACGCCGACCTTCCGAGCTGCTACAGTGGCCGAAGGGGGTCCATTGTCCTGCCCCGCCCCCTTCCCCCAACTGGATCCGCCCCTGGGCTGATGGAGGGGTAGCTCTTCGGCACCACGTCGGCTCCCCCGCAGCCCTGCTCGGCTACACCGCGGAGCCTGGCGCGGCCTCCACGGCTGTGCTGTCTGCACAAATCCACCGGGGGCTGCAGTAAGCCAGACCCCCTGGCTCATATATCCCCACATCTAGACGGCCACCTCAGCCCACGCATCCTTGCACCCTCCCCCCTGCTTACCCCTCTTCCCCCCTCGCCACTTCTCCTCGGTTCCCCCACCCTCCCGCGCTAGTTTGTGTGCATATGGTGCCCCACCTGGATTACTGGGGGCTCAGGCCACAGTCACTACTTGGACTAATTGTTTTATCGGGAGCCACGATCCGCGGGAGGCCTGAGAGAGGTCTTCGGTGAGCACGTGTTACGCAAGGGACGAAGGTCACGTTACGGTCCCGTGACCTTTAAAACCTTTTCCAAACGCGCTGCCTTGCTCTCTTCCTACATGTAGAATAAGATGTATCTTATTTAATTTCCTCATTGTTAAGTTGCTTAGCGGTACCTAACGATATTAAAGAAAAAGGGTGCTCTGCAAAGCCGGTGGTAAGTTTGCTTGCCACAAATTTGGCAAGCCGTTTTGAATGCCAAAAAATTGCCAAGCTTGGCCCTGAAATGCCACCCAGCCCGCCAAATTTTGGTAAGCTCATGAAGATCTCCGAGCAAAGCTAAACGGCTCGCCAAATTTGTGGCAAGCAAAACTTACCACACTGAGGAAACCTTACAAAACATTCCAGGCCTTACAAAGCAAAGCAGTTTGTTATAACAAAGTATTTTGAGCGCAAATAAGCTTACAAAGAAAATGATTAATAATTTACGAACTATTTCTTCGTATAACAAAGTAAATAAGTTTGTATGTATGCTCAAAATACTTAGTAAGGAGTTGAGGGTGCAGGTCGCAGAGCGACTCACACCTCGTGTTGCACATTCCGACAACCTTCTATGCTCGAAATTTTTTCGTTCTTGCCCCGTGTGCCCGGTGTCTTGCTCTCGCCGGTTTTCCCTCCTTTTCGCCACTTTCGCGAACACACCGGCGGCCTCGCGCGCGGCGTCACGGAGTCTCCCCTCCGCCGTCGCCTCCTCGCTCTCTTGCCGGTGCGCTCGTCCAATCTAAAATGTTTGAACTTCCGAACGGTTCTGCCCCCCTAAATACACGAGGACTGATCCGGACCGGAGCCGCCTGGCACCCGACCCGTGGGAGGGGGAAGGGGTCCGCAGGTTGACCTGGGCCGTTCTGCAGACGCATTCCGAGAGTAGTCGTTTCCGTCACTCCGCCTCCCTCGCGCCCACCCGGAACGTCCCACGAGTGCGAGAGAGACGGGGCGGCGAGAACGACTCTCTCGGAGTCAGCCAGCTGGGCCGCCCACTGCCGCTCGGATTCGATTAAAGGCAAACAAATCTTGGAGGAAATGTCGCGGAACTGCCGCTGGCCGCTTGGGCTTCGCTCGAACTGTCGCTGCCCTCGTCGAAGGGTTCGGGACGGATGTAAATACGGCCGACCGAAAGGTCACGTCGCTGCCACACTGTCAGCCCGTTCCAAAATGCGCTTTTCTCGGTCTCTCGCTCTCACGTCCAGGTGCGAGAGAGACAGAACACGGTTCGCATCCACCTGCTGTTGACTTGCTCCAGCGTCGGCAAGTGCCGCCCGGCGAGAATGGTCACTCCGGCGTCGTTTTACTCCACCTTGTCACTGCAGACAAGGACTGTGCCTGTCGGGCCCGCCGCCAGGCCTGCGCTGTTACCGCCCTCTAACGGCGCCCTCCCCGGAGGTCCTGCAGGGCCTGGAGGCCCCTCCAGGCCCTCCAGGCCCTGGAGCAGAGCGACGACGCCCTTTCGCCGTCCGCCGTAGCGGAATGGTGCTGGTTCGTGGACGGTGATTTGGTCAGGCGCACTGTGGGAAAAAAATCACAGTAAATCCTGTAGTGATTCGTACAGCTGTCACTGTAGTTCAGAGTACGGGATTTACTGTACTTTTTTTACAGGATCTACTGTACTTTGTACGGGATTTACTGTTACCACAGGAGTGGAGTACGGAATATCCTGTACCAGGTACAGTAAATGCTGTAACCAGGCACAGTAAATACTGTGTCCTGAACTACAGTAAATCCCGGCAAAAAAATTAACGGGATTTACTGTGGTTTTTTCGCACAGTGCGTGCTCGGGAAGGTATGCACTCTCAAAACCCGGGACCCGCCCAGTACCTATCCTTCTTTTTACTACATTCTGAATTTATACACCTTTAAAAAAAAAAAGGTTACACCAAAAGAGACTAAAAAGAGATGAAGTGAGTATCTGCCACTACTTCGAGATTCAATGCCTTGGCACAATTTTAGTGACGTAGTCTTAAAAGATTTCCTAACCTGTTTTTTTTCAGTGCTGCCTTTTTTATTGTTGTCACATTTCCAAAAATATAATTCCCAAAACAACCTTAAAGACGTCTTTTGAAAACAAGGAAATCTTCAACGAAAAAGGCCGAAAAAGACTTTTGAAAACGGCATATTTTGAGATAGTCAGAAAATATTGCGATTCTTAAATTCTGACTGCAACCCTTCCATTGAGAGGGTATGCACTGGGTCTCCCTGTCGGCAATCGCTCGCATACTTGTAGAGTAACCGCCAAAATTCTACGTATTTTGGCCTTTATTTGGTGGGTTTCGTCTGTTTTCAGCTGATTCTCGATAAATCAGAGGCGCAATAGTCGGAGAACAGGTTTTCAGAGTGCAACCCCAGCTGTACAGGCGTTGCACAGACAAAAGGTGCGCGGAACTGCGGCCCATACGTTCGCTCAACTGGTGGCAACTTGATTCTCCTTCCCGCCCGTTTTTCGTGCTGTCCGATTGATACGAATCGGTGGTCCACAATTTGGTGGGGCTCCAGCACCCGTCATCCCTTTCAATGGGGTGGTTATGAAAATCCGATTTCTGTGTCTCAATGGCTACTTGTGATTCAAAGAGCGAATAACGTGGAAATTTCCTCCAAATTCGTTTGTGAATGGATTTGAGAAAACCAACATCATTTCTCTGAAATACAAATACGAATTTTGAATGAACATATGGATAAAGCGGGAGAAATAAGAGGACTTTTTAGTGGCATTCAACTTTTTGACAAGTTTTACTTCGTATTCAATGTGGCAGGGCAAAAGGCAGGGCAAAGGCAAGGCGAAGACAGGGTGAAGGCAGGGAGACCGCCAGACACGGCCCTACAAACACGGTGACGGTGCCCCTTGATGCAGCACAATGCCTTCGCGTCTGGCTCGGCCCGGCTCGGCCCGGCACCGAGCTCAGCAGCGGCGCGGGCAGCGGACCGATTCCGGACGGGGGCTCCGTCCCACCCACTCGAGGGGCGTTCGAAAGCTTGTTCGAAGGGGGATGCGAGGAAACAGTAAGCGAAATCAGCCCGGTGCTTTACACTGAAAATGTCTCATGGTGAAAGGCTGCGCCAATCTATTACGGTGGAGATTGTTTTCTCCATAATACCAACGAAATTCGTCAAGATGTCTGTAAGGTTCCGTGAATTCTCCATGGTATGTTCACGGCAAAAGTACCGCCTGGGATTCCCAGGCGGTGCCTGGAAAATAGGCCCTTTTCCCCATGATGCGTCTGGGAATCCCAGGCGGTACTTTTGCCGTGTTATGAACTCAGCTGCACCACCAAAATATGGTTAGGTTAGGTTCACCCGGAGAATCTTCTCTGTACAACATTAAGAGTACCACGAGGGACAACCAGGGGCAACCACAGAGCACTGCTCGCTTAATGTTCATGTACTTACTGTCATTGTTCATACTTTTTTCCCCATGAGGCCCCCGGTGGGGTTTGGCTGCTTAACTTTTCCTTTGGTCGCCGCTGGCTCAGGGATGAGCGAGCGAATGGACAGTAGATGCACACTTCAGGTTGTGGAGCGCGTCTGTTTTTAACTGTGGCCGGAAGAGAGCGCGGTGTGCGTAGCACGTCCAAAAGAACGTCCCCATGGAGCCGCAGCTTTGCCGCTGGGCGCTGCGCTCGGCTCGTCCATCGCTGCCTCGCTGCCTTGATGCTTTAAAGCCCCTCCGGGACGGCGGGCTCGGAATCGGTGTCAGTCGGACGACCGATACCCGCCCGGTTATTTGCAGTCCGACATGGAGAGTCCGCAGAGATTGCCGCGCCCGACCGCGCTCTGTCTCTGTCGCACTCACGGCATCAGCCTGCCGCACGCGCCGGGCCGGAGTGTGATTTATTTCACTCAGCGACAAGGACGCTAAGTAGCCCCCCGCTGCTGTGAGGCCACTGCAGACAGAGAGTCCTTTTCATCGCGCTGTTTCTCTCACACTCAAGGGCGTCCCGCTTGGGTGCGAGAGAGACAGAGCGGCAACGACTCTGCGCCCCGAGACGCACAGTGGGCCAGAAGACCGGTGGGGCGGCCAAAACTCTAGACGCGTTTTGAGCTCCAGAGTAGCTGAATGAGACTCAACCCGAACGTGTGACCCCACCAATGGATTGCCCTTCGAACGAGGAACCCATTGATGGGGTCACACGCTCGGTTCGAGTCCTGTTTAGCGACTCTGGAGCTCAAAACGCGTCTAGAGTTTTGGCCGCCTCCGCCGGTCTTCTGGCCCACTGTGAGACCGCCGCGGGCGTCGTGTGAGGCGGGCCCCGGATATGGACCCCTGCAGAGGCCTTCCGGGCGGAAGCGAGCTACGACTACTGTACTTTATTTCCACCGCTACATCGGAAGGCTGCCGACCAATCAGGACGAGGGGATCCGAGACGGGGAGGGAGGCTGGGCCGGCGACCCGATGATCACCAGAGCGTCCTGCTCCGTCCTAACTCGACTTCCGGGGATTCGGCTCGCACGGCGCCGCGAACCGAAGCGAGTCTCTCGGCCGGAGGATGCACGATGCCGCCGTTTGGAATTTCTAGGGGCGG